TAAAAAGAAGAGTCTCTAGACATCAAAGACCATGGCGGGAGAGGGGCCGGAGCAGAGGGAGGCAGCAGAGGGAGCTCTAGCCCTGGCCCCAGAGCTACAGCCAGCAGCCAGCTCCTGCCCAACAGGCGACCTGGCCACCTCACCTGAGAAATGGCAGAAAATCAAAGGCAAGAAACGCAGCTGGAGAGAAAAGACAAGTATCAGAACTCGACTCAGACCTGGCAGGATCAGGGGGCCATCAAGTCTGAGAGTTGAAGTAGCCATGAGTGGTGCCCTCAGGGCTCCTGCAGCAAGAGGGAGCCCCACGCAAGAAGAGGTGGTGATGTCCAGAGAGGGGGTCTCAGGGACAGTCTCGAACACTGTCACAGCAGTGGAGAGCTTTCCACGCCATCTACTGACTGCACCTCGGCAGCTGAAGTGTGTCCACAAAAACTTCCAAAYGGAAAAGCAGAACAGTGAGGAGATTACAAAAAGTACATCACAGAAGTGTCGTCAGGTGTAGGCGACGCCCCTTGGGCTGAATTCCACTCACCYGACCTTGTAACCCTGCTCCTTCTGGCCTTTTTTAGATGGAACTTTCTAAGATAAGGGTCCCCCCAATAAAAGCCCACTTCCGAACGTGCGCGCTCTCCCTCGCCAGCCTCCCGTGACTTTCTCTTGCTCTCCCATGGGGAGCCTGAGGCCCAGAGCAGAGAAGTTGCCCTGAAGATTGTGTAAAGGTAAAGTGGTGTCCCTGGAAATTCACACGAGCGACGGGGGCAGCACATCTCTTCAGAAACCTTGCAAGCAGAGTGACAGAAGAGTGGAGATGTTTAAATCATTGAGAAAAGCATCCTTGTGGCAGGAAAAATTCACCCTGTCCCCCTTTTCCATGTATGGAACCGTCAAAGAAAACAAGTGTCCAACAGGCAGTGTCCTTATAGTGTGGGTGTAACTGATCCTAACCATCAAAACATGAGCAGAAGAGATAGGTGTCCCTGCAGAGCCAAGAACAAGGCTACCTGCTTCTCTTTTCCTTTTGACCCTGGTAGATGAAAAAAACTACAAGGCACTGGGTTGAGGTGGAGCCTTAAAACAGGTGGAGCTCCTGGACCTTCTGGTGTGCTCTAACCACAAGCCTCCTCCCCAGGAACTGCTAAGCCCTAAGAAATATCCAGAGCAGGGCTTCCCTTTACATCCTGCCACCATAAGATCTCCCAAAATATCTTGTCTCAATTAGCTAAGGCCACAAAAATGCTATGCCATCCTGCAGTAGCTTAAAACAGCAATGACCCCTCCTCGAAGTCACTGGCCTTCACATTGACCAAGGCAGCTCATCACAGGTGTCTCATTCTGGCCCCAAGGACAAAGGCCATGACTACCCTCCAAGCTTTTTGCCATGGCCAAGGTCCAAAGCTCGAAAGGTGCAGGTGGACACATGAAACTCTCAGGATGTCCTGGACCACACAGCCACTTCCACCCACACTCCACTGGCCAAAGGACCTCACGTGGCCAGCCAAGTACTTTCTGCACAGGCTGCCTCGGCAAGGACGTGATGGGTAACACTGCTGCAGGGACAGAGCCTGTGGAGGCTGCAGAATCTACCACTGGCCTTGAACATGGAGGAACGTGCACCGAGGCCCCGGAGCTCTGCCCGGGAAGTCGGAATGTGTGTTTGCCAGAGGACACAGGAGTTCACAAGGAGTATTGTGTGGGACCTGGAGCTCTTTGGAACCCCTGGTGTCCTGCAGTAATTCACTAGGAGAAAGGATGAGGTCAGACAGTAGGTCACTGAAGGACTGTCATGTTGATTATGCAGGTGTTCTGCTGAGGTTATCAACCACATGCCACCAGAGACCCATCCTGTTGACTCATCAAAGCCGTGCACTGTCTCAAAGCCTTGCTTCTGTCATTCCAGATCAGAGATGAAGCCTAAGAAGARGCACTGCGGAGTCAGAGTGGGGGGACCTTGGAGGGTAGGCAGCTCAACTCTTTCAGCAGATGGAGGAATCCAAGCAGAGAAGTGACGAGATTCAGAAAACCACTTGATGAGGTCTGCAGTGTGCTGGGCCTACACCAGCACTTTGCTCCCAGAGTAAGTTGCTTAGCAAGTATACACCTGTGGAAGGGCCCTGAGACAGGTGCTGAGACCAGGGGGCGGTGGGCCACAGGTCTTCCCAGGGGCACCTAGTCAAAGCTTTGTAAGGACATGCAGGCTCTCAGGGACTGAAATCCTAACACCATGTTGTCCTCTGATTACATCAGGACCTTTCTCAGAAGTTGAGCTTTTAAAGTTGAGGCGCGGACCTCATCCCCAACAGTTCCCCTTCCTGATGCCCTTCTCGCTTTTCCGTTTGAAACATTTCTGTTTCCTCAGAAAAGGTGGGAACATTGAGTTAAGCTGATGCACCTGCTCAAAAAAATACTAAAACTACACAAAAAAGGGAAATATTCATTTAAACCTATACAAATCCTAACCTCTTCTCACAATACCTGAAGTCTCCAGCCAACCATTAGGCCTTCTCTGGCCTGGGCGGCAGCAGTTATACCACTTGGAAGATGTGTCTGATGTAGTTTACTCTATAGTTTATGGATTCAGAGCAAGCCTCCGMAGGAGCCTCTCCTAAATCCACGTATAAACAAATAGGAATGGCCCCCCAAATGTGAAGATTTAAAAGATCTTCCTGATAGCAGATAGACTTGAGATAGACACGAGATTAAGAGAGCAATTCTGTAAACTGGGCCCACTGTGTAACCCCCACATGCTTTCTTTTCCAAGAAGCAATTTACCTGCACCCCTGCCTGGCCTGAGTGGACAGGACATGTCACATTCCTCAGCAAACTACCCGTTATCTGCAGGAGAAATGAGGATAATGTCCATAAGAGGAATACAAGTTAGCCTGAAGGTGGACACTTCAGTGACCCTTTTTATGGACCAGATCCCCAAACTTAGGGAGATAAAGATWATTCCTCCTAATCATAAAATCTGTAAGAATTTATGGTTAAGAATCATAAACCATGCTGACCATGGTCAGCATGGGCCAAGGTGACCCAGAGTCAGTCATGGCAGTGGGGACTTGAAAGTCTGATGCCATCCTACTGTCAGTCAAAAGTCAAGAGGAGGGGCTGGGGTTGTGGCTCAGTGGTAGGGCACTTGCCCAGCAAATGTCAGGCACTGGGTTTGTTCCTCAGCACCACATAAAATAAAGGTATTATGTCCATCTACAACTAAAAAATTAAAATTAAATTTAAAAAAATCAAGAGGTGGACCTGGGCAGGATCTCTGGATATTTCTCTGGGATCCCCAATAAAAATGGAGTGAAGAGGCTCCTTGTTCCTTCTTTTCTGAGAGGAAGGACCCACTCTCCCCCTTGAGTGTGTCCCCACTCCCTTTTCCTGTCCCTTCAATAAACTCATGCCTGTTACTCTGAGTGACCTTTTGAAATCCTTCTGATTTAAGAACTGGGTTGGAATGGGGGGCGATCTTCATGCTCCCCCAGTTTCCCAGAAGGTCCCAATTTTGTAACATTTCCAGAAGGTAGGCAGGTCTCAGGACAATCCTAAAAGTGACAAAGATGTACTCCTGATTCCGCCAGTTACTGGTGACGAGTCCTGCTTCCCGCATGGTGAAGTCTAGCATTCTCTAGCAGCTGAGGAAGCATATGAAGCAGGTTTACTTAAGAAGGGGGAACAGACCTCTCCCAGGAGGGAGCAGGGCCATAGCTGGTGTCCTGGTACCCAGGAAGGTGCCGCCTTTTTGATGTCTTAGGCTTCCTTGGTTCTCCTGCTCTCTTCCCTTTCTCTTTCTCCTTCCTACATAACGTGGGAAACAGGTGGGCTGAAGGGGGAAGGGCAGGATGGAGGGCCCAGGACTTATTAATTAGCAACTTTTACAACTCAAGGTAGGGAGGGGCATTCCCCCCACAGGTTACCTTAGCAACAGGTTGGAGCAGGGGATGGAGGAGGAAGAGAGGAGGAAGGGCTCTCAAGGGATTTCACTCCCTCAGGGAGGAGTCTTTTATCTGTCTATATGGACTGCTGTCAAATTCTGGCTTCACTCCTTGACCCCTGTCCCAACCTTCTCACTGACCAGCCTAGTTTTAGGAAGAATCCTGCAAAGCTGATTCGGAAAGCATCCCCACCTTGGGGTCTGATCACCCCTCATCTCTGACCAAATACCTCACCTCTCGCCACCCTGGCCTGCCTTCAGCAACAATCCTGTTCAATCGGTTTAGCAAAAATCCCCCCTTGGACGTCCTGGTGATTTCCCATCTACTGACCCCTCACACTCCCTGGTTCTACTCATTGACTATAAAGCTCCAGCCTTGGGTGCTGTATTCCGTGTCGAATACCATTTCTCTCTGAATGAAGTCCTTCTTACTGTTTTAATAAGTGCCAAAGTCATTATTCCTTAAGTTGCCAACGAAAATCCAAACCCAGAGTCTTTTTGAGGAGTGCGCGCTTTCTGGGTCGCTGGTTATGTGGGCCACGGAGTCGCCAGCAAGGACTCCTCCGAGCACTCAGAGACAGAGGCGTCCACGCACAAGGACTTCGTCCACCGGGTTCTAGGCTTGGGACCTGGCAGGGGACAAGGCAACCAGAGGCGCGCGTTCCGAGAAGCGGCGGGAACAAGCCTGCGGGGGCAGGGACGCTCCCCCGTGGCCCCAGGGCCCGGGCCTCCGCAGCGCACGGCGGGGGCTCCGCGCGAGCGGCGGGCGGTCACTCAGCAAGTGCACGTCCCGGGGGACGCGAAGGAGCGCGCTCGGCGGGGCCAGGCCGCCGCTCTCGCCCGCGCGCCGAGGGGCGGCGCCGGGGGGCAGCGCGGGGCCCCGCGGACCGCGCAGGGCTCGCAGCGCACCGCCGGCCGGAAGCGGCGGGAGGAGGTGGGCGCGGGCGGCGTCCCGGCGCCGCCAGGCCTGCTGACATCCGCCGCTCCTCCCCTCGCCTCCCAACACGCTCCGCTGCGGCCGGGCCCTCCCTCCGCCCACCACGTGTCCTCCGCGCTGCCTCCCGCGGGGCCGCGCGCACGGAAGCCGGCGGCGGGCAGGATGGCGCCGTGACAGCGGCCGCGGCCCTCGCGTCCCCGGCGGCCCGGCCTGCGGCGGCGGTGAGTGCGCGGGCGGCGGGCGGGCGTGGCGAGCGGGGCCGCCGCCGCCTTTGTTGGGGCCGCGGGTGCGGGCGGCGCGGGCTCGGCCGGCAGGTGCGCGGGGCCGCGGGGCAGGGCCGGCGGGCGCGCCCGGGACGCSGAGCGCGGGCCCGGCGGGCGCGGAGGGCCTCGCCTCGCCGCGCCCGCCTCGCCCGCACCCTCGCGCCGGGCGGAGCCCTCGCGTCCCGCCCCAGCGGCCCGGGGGGAGGCCGCCAAGTTCGGCCCCGGCTGTGGGCGCTGACGCCCCCGCGCTGGGTCCTCTTGGAGATAGGCAGGAGCGCGAACTCCGGAAGGACCCTTTCTTTGGAAGGCTGGGCGGAGGTGGCCCGCGATGCACACTCACTGCGCGCCTAGGAATTGCCCGCGCCCCTAGAGGGCAGAGCGGGCGCTTTGTACCGGCCCGCCAGCCGGCCCGGGCCGGTGGGCCCCGCGGATCCCTGCGCCCTCCTGGGCGTCCAGGCGTCCCCCTCACTGCGTATCACCGACTCTCCGGATTGCAGAGTCCCTTAAAGCAGAATGACTGTTTTCTGAACTGGCTCTTGGACGGAACCTTGGAAATTGGAAAGTCCAGATGATGGGTATTCTGGGCCAGCCATCCTTCTTTCTTAACTGGCCTCTGGTACGCGCGCGTGCGCGCACACACACGCACACACACACCAGGTGAGTAAGTGCCCTGTGTCCAGACACCTTCAGGTATAGAAATTAACACCCATCTTGTGTGATGGTTCCCTGCCTGGGCAGCCCTGGGTAGGGGAAAGTTCTACCTGTAAGTTTAGTGTTCAAAACCTTCCCAGAACACTTACCCCTGGCCTGGGTTCCACCCTGCCATCTCTACCAACCGGTCTGGCCTCTCTGTCACAGAAAGCTTTTCTTAAATATTTGAAAGCATCCAGATAGGTTATCTGCCCACAGTCCCTCTTATCATAATTAAATATGCCACCTGCCAGCTTCCTGGTGTTTTCACTGAAGTCCTTCCTGCCCAGGCCTGACCCTGTTCCCTGCCTTCCTTCTAGCCTGAGCAGTGCTTGGGCTGAAGAGGAAGGAGGGGCTGAGCCTCCTCTTGTGGGCCTTGGAGAGTGCACACTGACATGACACCTGATTGTCTAAACTGCATCTTGCTCTTAGATATGGAGTCCACTACCTACCCTCTCAATTTGACCCTGAAAGAAGAGCAAGAGGAAGAAGAGATCCGGAGCCGGGAACTGGAGGATGTCCCCACAGACATGCAGAGAGTGAGAATCTGCTCAGAGGGTGGATGGGTGAGTAAGATGGTGACATGCAGAGTGAGGAACAGGCCTAGGAGCCAGGTTCCTCAAGCAGAGGTGGGAAGTAAAAATAGCCCAGCCCTGAGTGTTTGCATTCCTGAGGAAACAGCCCTGTAGCTTTAAAAGGCAGTGCAGAGTGAGGAGGCCAGGAGGCCTGTCATTAGATGGCCAGTCTCAGGAGCCCAGACCTTGGCTCTCCTTTCCCCCCTTCTCTGCACCGAGCTTGTGGCCATGCACCTTGTGGGCAGTAAATGGACATTTGCTGACTTACTGCTGGCTGAAGGGACCCATTCTGAGCAAGACTTGGATGTTGAGCTCCACAGGAAAGCTAGACATATAGTAGTTCCCCCGGGAGAGCTGCTCCTCTGCTGGGCCTGGAATGGTAAGCAGTCAGGAAGAGGGAAATTTAGCACAGGCAAACAGAAAAGCGAGATAGATGCAAACAGCAGGTATTTAGAGTCAGAGTTGCAGCTAGTTATTCACAGTATTTACTGGACTTCTTAGAAATTGGGCATGAATGGTAAACATTTTAAATAAGCAACACAATGATATTTTTCTGCTTAGCTTTCCGATGTGTATAAACATTATCAATATCAATAACACATAAGAAGAGCCATGCCACTTCCAATTGTCCAGTCCACTCCCACAGACACGCGAGGGAACTAAAGTATAGCAAAGCTGTCTTACTTTTGCCTTCAGGATGTACATGTCCACTGGTATTTGTTCTTTAAAAATAGGGCCCCTTGGGTTGTGGCTCAATGGTAGAGCACTCCTAGTACAGGCGCGGCCCTGGGTTTGATCCTCAGCACCACATAAAATAATTAAAGATACAACTACAACTAAAAAATAAATATTAAAAAAAAAACAAAAACCAGCAGGGCTCCTGAACTATACCCCTAACACGAGCACTTCTTACTGAATGTATGCTGTACCTAACTAAAGACAAACAGTGAACACCAGGCTCTGGTCAGCTGGTCTGGCTGTGGGGGCCACGCACCTTTGCCTCATCACCGTTCTTGGCCCACCTCCCCAGTTCTGATCCAGGCAGGAAACCTCAAGGCAGTGGAAGCCCCACTGGCCAGCCCAGAACATCTAACCCTGAGTGGAGGACCGTGGGAAATGGGTCCAGTAAAAGCAGGCATCTGAATGTGTTGGCGCAATGAGGAAAGAGCCAGGTGAGGTCCCTGCTTGGGCGGAGAAAGAAGGAATCACCAGAGGAGACGAGAGAGGGAGCTGGCAGCTTGGCGGTGCTGGGGATTTGGCATCTGTGGCCCCCAGGCAGTCTACCACCCATCCGTGGTTACAGCACAGAGCTGGTGTTAAGGCAAGACCCTTACACTCATGGAGTTTCTGATCTCATGAGCAAGACAGGGAAGTGAACCTGAAGTAGTAGACAGCCTACAGAGTGCATGGTAGAGGTGAGCTCCGGATGCTGTAGCAGCCAGGCACAGGAAGGCCTCATTCAGACTGGAGGATGCTTCTAGAGAAGGCCTGGTCTTGAGCAGTAGGCTGTTTTGCCCCCTCCCCACCCTAAGCCACTTAGCAGTAGTGGAGACACTTATGGTCATCTTGACTCAAGATGGGGGGATATCCTACCAGCAGCACCCAGGCCCAGGATCTGTCTGCACATCCCAGTGCCCAGGACAGCCGCCTGCACGATGAAGAATTACTGCCCAAAGTGTCAGTCATGTTAGGTAGAGAAGCACTGCTCCAGAGCATTAAATCAGGGAAGGAAAGAATTGAATCTGTGCCTCAGATATACCTCTTGGCTCTAGAGGATGACGTTACGGTGATCAGCAAAGGCCATTCAAACATAAGAACTATGCTCTGTTATAAAATTCCAGAAAATTAGAATAGAAATAAATTTCAAGGAGAGAAAAAAATGTATGTTGAAATCAGCCTTTGTCATGGGTGGAGTCGGCCAAGGGAAGGCAGGGGTTTGTACGCAGGCAAAGGCCTCAGAGAGCAGCTCTGTGCAGTCAGGAGCTGCTCGGAACCAGGCAGGGAGAGGAAGGAGACCTGGGGGAGTGGGTGCTGCCTGGGGGAGGGTGAGGTCTCCCTCCTCAGTAGCTCTGAGGAATGAGTCTGTAGCCATCTTTTCAAGGGAAGCTGGCTCTCCAGCTACATGGCTCAGACCGACGGAGCTGCTCCAGCTCTAGACACCACTGCCTCCTTACCGTGTAAGTGGGGTCCGCATCCGCAGGTCCCTGGCTGGCTTGTCAGAGAGATGCTGTTATGGACGTGGGAGTGCCCCGCACCAGGCCTGGCACAGCAGGCATGCCATGCAAACCGCACAGGCTCCCTCGGGTCTCCCCGCTCTGCCAGGTGGCTGCTGGGTGGTTGCAAGGCTGTGAGTATGTAAACACTTCCCAGCAGCCAAGGCAGTGGAAGCCCTTGGAGATAACTGTTGGAATGCCACTTTCCAGGAGGAGCAAGGCAGTGAACACAGGCCAGAGGCAGAGTCGGAGGGCAGGGAGCAAGCAGGGAGTAGGCCCTGCCTGCCAGTCCCCGGGAGAGCAGCCTGGCCTCGGTGTGCTGCAGGCTGCCCTGTTTACCTTCTGCTGTGTTCACCAGGTAGCAGGCCTCTGGAGTGAAAGGGCTGCCGTGGGGGATTCCTGAGCCTCTGCACCGTGCCTGTGCTGCACAGCCTGGGCTTGTCCCAAGGTCCTCCGAGGCCCCGTCATCAGACCCACACCAGCCTCTAGCCTTCCCCAACCAGTATCTGAGGCCGAGAATGTGTTACCCTCCATGGTGACCTGCAGAGCCAGGCTGTGTCCTGGTTTATCAGCAAAAGGAAAGGGATTATAAATAGGTATGGCCTAGATCCGAAGCCTCCCAGAGGGAGAGATGTTTAAAAACCTGGGAAGTGGGAGGGAGTCGGGTGGAAAATTCCTGGGATGTCTGGCTTTCCAGACTGAGTAAGAAGTCCCAGGAAAACCAGAGACCAATCCATTTTTACCTCCTACTATTTCACACTTAAGAGATTTTTGTCCATTCTTACTCCTAAGAGTTGGCTCCGTTTTGTGACAGATAAAACTTAATGATTCTTTGAAACTGTTCCAAGCACAACAAGAGAAGGGAAATCCAGAGATTATTTGCCTGGATCGTTCATTCAGAAACACGTTTTAAGTGACCGCTAGCTACAGGAAGCATCCTCAGCACAGGCTCTGCCGGCAGAGAATGCCGTTCTAGTGGAGAGAGCAGATGAGGAAAGCCAAACAGGGCTGAGGGGCCTCCGTGGTGCTGAGCCCAGGGTATCATGGGGACATGAGTGGGCTGCCTGGGGAACAGGATGGACAGGACCGAGGCTAGGAAGCTGGCTGGGTGTTCCTGAGGCCGGGATGGTCAAGGAGATCTCAAGGCCCAGGATGGAGTGGGCAGAGGTGTGGAGGCGGCAGGGATCACAGGCAGCTGAGCATATCTGGAGCAGAGAGGTTCAGGCTAGTCACCAGGGAGTCAGCTTTGGGCTCCCTAGCCAGAGCCACAGTGAAGTCACACGGTGCAGGATCCTGATCTCAGCCTGGCCGTTTATTAGCTGTGTGACTTTATCCTGGAAGCGGGACTCTGAGCCTCTTTCCTCCTTCATTAACTGGAGCATCCGTGCTCCTTTTCAGGGTGTTGGGAGAAGTCAGTGAAGCAACCACAGGGCTTGTAAGTGTTTAGTATGTGGAAGGTGCTGGGGAGGCCAGGGTGCCTGACACCTGACCAAGCTGGTTTTCCAGGCTGAGGGAACAGTGTCCCCAGGCCCAGGGACAGCTCCGGGGAATAGCTTTGGAGGCAGGAATACAGCCACCAGCTTGAAACGAGCTGTTTGGTGATTTCCCACCACTGAATATGGTGAGCTTTGGAGTAGGGTTTTTAATGACTGAGAGAAAAAACGTAGTAAAAAGAAAAGTAAACCAATTTTAAAAAACAAGGAGGGGGTTGGTGGCTTGGCTGCCCACAGCCCCTGAGCACCCCTCCTGCACAGACATTGCCACCTGATCTAGGTGTCCAGCTGAAGTCTGTCTGGCATCTCATCATATAAACAAGGTGCTAATTGCCTTTCCCTCCTCCTCCTCCTCCAGTTCTCTGGGCTGCAGAAGCCAGCGGGGCTCCTCCTCTCACTGGCTCCTCTCTTGCTTTGGGTTCCAAATCAAACACTAGGGTTAGTGCCTTGAAAATGGAGTATCCTGGAACACCCCAGAGATCCTGTGGGAAGAGGGGATGCATTTAAATATGCAAACCCAGCTCCTCCTGCTGGTCTGAGGGTCTTTGGGAGGTAGGGAGGTGCGGGTTGGATGAGAGTGCTGATGGGCACGCTCTGGTGTGGTTGGCCTCCACCTATGGAGGGTGTGGGCTGTGGGCAGCTCTCACAGTGCATGAGGATAGGACGTCCAGTGTCCTCCAACCTGCTGAAGGCTAGAGGTCGTTTTCTTTTCAAAGTGCTGCTTCCTTTGTTTGAGAACTAAAGAGGTGGTGGCCACTGGAGTGGGCATGGGAGGGCCTGTGTTCTTGCCCCCAGTAGCTGAGTAGCTGCATGAACACAGACAAGGGGGGGCCTGACCTGGCCTGTGAGGCAGGGCTGGGGAGGGACCCTGTGGGACCAGAAAGTCCATGTCTGCATGCGCCCACGTCACTGAGAAAGGCCTGTTTATGTTCCAGGTACCGGCCCTGTTTGATGAGGTGGCCATATATTTTTCTGATGAGGAGTGGGAAGTTTTGACGGAGCAACAAAAGGCCCTGTACCGGGAAGTCATGAGGATGAATTATGAAACCGTCCTGTCCCTGGGTAACGCTTCGTTTTCCTTTGTGTCCTAGAGGCTCCGCACCCAGAGAACTGTGTCCATTCTCTCTGTGTATCCAGCGTCCTGAGCGTGGATTTCTTGGATTCTGCCCCCTCCTTGCCAGTGCCCATTTAACCCCCTGGTTTTGATTCAGACACGATATGAATATTATGTCCATCCCACTCGGCAGTCCTGTTGAGTCCTTGTTCAACCCAGGCGGGCATTCACATGTTTTAAAAAGGCGGCTTAGCTTTGGAAACATCACCGTGGATCTGGGCCTGTGCTTTGTTCTCCAGAAAGGAAGCAAGGCCTTCGTTGGTATCCTGTCAGCCTCAGAAATGTTGGGACTTGCCCCACTCTGACTCTGGCACATCCTCCTATCAGAGTTGGGCCTTTGGAGCCCTCCCCAGTGTGCTCGCTCACGGTGGTGGTGCACGTCGCCTGCTCTTGAGCTGTACTTCCCTGGTGGCTGCTGACCAGCTCTCGCCTGGAGAGGTCCAGCATCCCCTGGACAGACCTCTTTTCCATCACGCTTTTTACATACATGAACAAGCTCTCTTCCCCATCTTTCACAAAGTAATGGAGGCACGGGGGGGTTAAGTAGAAGTGCTTATTTGGGGACTGCTCTGGAGCAGTGACACACAGCTGTTCTTTTGTTTTCTACAAACAGAATTCCCATTCCCTAAGCCAGACATGATCACTCGGTTGGAAGGGGAAGAAGAGTCCCATAACTCTGATGAGTGGCAGCTCCAAAGAGGAACCTCCACAGGTACAAGTAGACCAGTTCCACCATCGTCTGAAGGGAGCCCCATGGAGCTGGGTTTCCAGCCCCCAAGGATGTTCCGTGGTGTATTTAGGAGCGAGACACAAAGGTTATGGGCTTTGGCATTTAAAGGTCTTCCTCCTTCCAATGCTTTGGCTTTAGGCAGCTTCTTTCATCTCTTTGAGCCTCAGTTTCCCCATTTGTCTCTTGTGGGTCTAAATAAGACTTGGTGTGCAGCCTTGTATGTGGGAGCAGCTGGATGGGGCTTGTGTGCCGTTTGGTCCGGTGCACATTGTGGAAGCCCGGCCACTTCTCAGCACACCTGATGCCTCTGCAGACTAGGAACCGGGGAGCATGCTTCCAGAGCCTTTGTCTGGCACTGCCGTCTCCCTCTGGGTGGGAAAAGCAGTAACAGCTCCCGTGCTCATCTGAGCAAGTGTCTGAGAAGCACCTAATCTCTTGTCGGGAGAAAGGGGTCACAGTGGGATGAATATAACATACCTTCCAGACACCAAAGTGGTCTTTGTGCCGTAATTCATCAATTCTGAGACATGTTTTCCCCTGTAACACCTCCAACTCTGAAATGCTCCTTGAAATTGATGGCATGTGATAGTTACAATTAGTGGCATTTTATTTTTCTTTTAATGGCTTGTAGTCATGCATCCTGCAGTATGGCATTTGGGTTTTGGTGAAATACAGTAATTTCCTCAGATCATCCTCAGTTTCTGCCACCTTCCAGATACAGACACACAGTGACAGTGTTAACACTGGTGTTCAAGAGCTAGTTTTCTGCCTTATGAACTTAAGGTGGTTTTTGTTGTAGTTTTCTTGATTCAAAGGAGATGATTCAGTGYTGGGTGCACCTAAATCTCTGTAATATCATGTGGTAGTATGGGTTACCTTTATCTTCTCATCTACATAGACTTTTTTTTTTTTCCTTTTGATATTAGGGATTGAACCCAGGTGCACTCTACCACTGAGCTACATCCCAGGTCCTTTGTATTTATTTTGAGATGGCCTCACACCTGCCTTCCTCCTGCCTCATTCTCCAGAATCATTGGGCCTACAGGTGTGTTCCACCACACCTGGCCATAAGCATTATTTTTACCCACATGTGGCCCTCAAATTATGTAGCCCAGGCTTGGAGGTCAGTTCCTCCATAGCCCTCTTGCAGAGGGTGTGCAGTTCCTGGAGAGGTTGGTGGACTCGGTGGGACTTAGGCACTGTGACCTACTGAGAGAGTCACTGTCTTGGAGCATTTTGACCCAGAAGCTCTGGGAATCGCTCTCTCTCTCACTGGCATTGTTCTGTCTCCCAGAAAACGAGGAGTCCGACGTGAAGCCTCCATACTGGGCAGGCCCTGCGAACCCCCACGCACAGTTTCCTCAGCCCCAGCACCTGGACGGCCTAGGCCTGGCCGAGCTGCCCGAGTGGAGCGAGGGGTACCCCTTCTACATGGCCATGGGCTTCCCGGGGTGCGACCTGTCTGCCGAGGACCTGGCGGGGAGGTTCCAGTTTAGCCGGGGCATGCGCCGCAGCTACGACGCGGGCTTCAAGCTGATGGTGGTGGAGTACGCTGAGGGCACCAACAACTGCCAGGCGGCCAAGCAGTTCGGGGTGCTGGAGAAGAATGTGCGGGACTGGCGCAAGGTCAAGCCGCAGCTCCAGAATGCGCACGCCATGCGGCGGGCCTTCCGCGGCCCCAAGAACGGGAGGTTCGCCCTCGTGGACCAGCGCGTGGCCGAGTATGTGCGGTACATGCAGGCCAAGGGGGACCCCATCACCAGGGAGGCCATGCAGCTGAAGGCGCTGGAGATCGCCCAGGAGATGAATATCCCCGAGAAGGGCTTCAAGGCGAGCCTGGGCTGGTGCCGGAGGATGATGAGAAGGTACGACTTGTCCCTGCGGCACAAGGTGCCGGTGCCCCAGCATCTGCCCGAGGACCTGACCGAGAAACTGGTCACCTACCAGCGCAGTGTGCTGGCCCTGCGCAGGGCGCACGACTACCACGTGGCGCAGATGGGCAACGCGGACGAGACGCCCATCTGCTTGGAGGTGCCGTCCAGGGTGACCGTTGACAACCAGGGTGAGAAGCCTGTCCTGGTGAAGACGCCGGGCAGGGAGAAGCTCAAGATCACGGCCATGCTGGGCGTCCTGGCCGATGGGCGGAAGCTGCCGCCCTACATAATCCTGAGGGGCACGTACATCCCGCCTGGGAAGTTCCCCAGCGGCATGGAGATCCGCTGCCACCGCTATGGGTGGATGACGGAGGACCTGATGCAGGACTGGTTGGAGGTGGTGTGGCGGCGGCGGACCGGGGCCCTGCCCAAGCAGCGGGGCATGCTGATCCTGAACGGCTTCCGCGGCCACGCCACCGACTCGGTGAAGAGCTCCATGGAGAGCATGAACACCGACATGGTGATCATCCCCGGGGGCCTGACCTCGCAGCTGCAGGTGCTGGACGTGGTGGTCTACAAGCCGCTGAACGACAGCGTGCGCGCCCAGTACTCCAACTGGCTTCTGGCTGGGAACCTGGCCCTGAGCCCCACCGGCAATGCCAAGAAGCCGCCCCTGGGCCTCTTCCTGGAGTGGGTCATGGTCGCCTGGAATAGCATCTCCAGCGAATCCATTGTCCAGGGGTTTAAGAAGTGCCACATCTCCAGCAACCTGGAGGAGGAAGATGGTGTCTTGTGGGAAGTGGAGAGCGAGCTACAGGGAGGAGGTGAACCCCCTGTGGAGAGCATGGCGGAGAGCAACTGAGGGGCCAGCTCCTTGGTGGCTGGTCGGAGTAAGTGCTCAGGGCTCTGCCATCCCAGGCTGCCAGCCAACCTACCTCTCTCCGATATCTGTTTCCAGTTCTCAGAGTCCACGGGGCAGTGTGCGGGTGCCAGACCAGCAGCATTCTCTCCTTCCCAGGCAAGGGCTGTCTGACGCCCTTCATGGGTACTGTGCCCTGGGGCCCAGACCAGGAGCACTTATATACTAGTGAAATGAACAAAGGGTGAGCTGCCCAACACGGAATTTGACAGCTGTAACTCTGTAAGAAATTATTTGGACCTAAAAAGGTCTGATAATGTGCAGCTCAAAAAAAAATTTTGTCTGAAAAAGACAACTTTTTTCTTTCCCTTATAATTCACACAGAATAGTTTAGGGCCATTGTGTGCCTGATGTCCTTGAAGGACCAGGACACAGGGCRGGAGGCCTGCCTTCAGTACCGCATCTGCTGGGCCTCAGGTCTCCGTCCTGGGCTGGTCTACACCTAACACCTGCCAGAGAGTAAACACACACTTCACATCTTCAGTCTCATCCTGGCCTTGGGGTGGGCGGGCTGTTATGCCAGCAGATGTCTGCAGGATGGTGCTGTAAAACCGAAATCTTTGCACCAGAAACAAAATAAAGTAGGGTGCCACCTAACACTACAGATGGAGGGCCTGGGATAGGGCTGAGTGCAGAGCAGCAGCTGAGAGGAAGAGGGAAGGAGCCTCCCTCACCCACACTCCCCTGGAGGGAGCAGCAGGCCGCAGGCAGCCAGGAAGTGCCCAGGGCAGGCCACTCCAACCTCCTTGCTTCACAAAAGGTGAGGTCATCCCTTAGACAGAAGACTGAACCACCTTGATGTGGTTCTGTATGTGAAAGTACAGTTCCATCGGTGTGGAAGAGTGGCTCAGGCCTCCTTGCTCACCCCCACATCATCAGTTAGTCATGTCCCTAACTCCACTGTCACTCTGGGCCCCTGCAGTTAGCACAGAGCAAGGCCTTATTGTATACTCAGGATCACAGAAATGGCCTGTTGCTTCCTCATGTCCCCCACTTTGATAAGCCAGTGTTCTCACCTTTTGCTTTTCCCTCTCCTTGTCAGATAACATGGGGAGGGCACTTTCAGTTTTCCGAGTGTTCCCCCCCAGGGCCTCCATCAGGAACTTCCAGGAAGGGAAGAAAGCTGACTACCCTGCAGCTGTGAGCACAGGCACCTCGCACACCTCAGCCTGGGCTTTCTTGCCACAGACGCAGCTGTCTGGCTCCTCAGGAGGCAGGGGAGGAGACAGGGACATAAAACTAATGGAATTGCTATTTTTGTTAAGATATCCAGAAATCCAAAGATTAATTCACATTTAGTTCTGTTTTCTCCAGCAAATGGCACTGACGGCAACAGAGGGGGGAAATGACTCCCGAACGCAGTGGATGCACAGGGAGCAGCAGGAAGAAGTGACAGGGCTCTCAACAGCCCAGTTCTGGACAGCGGACAGTGTCCACCCTGGGACACGCCCTGCCTACCCCTTGAAGTGTCCGCAGCCAAGTAGAAGACCCTTAATTTCATCAGCAACAAGATTAGGAAAGAACCCTTCTGCCCATTTCTTGGAGATTATCTGCCTCTCCATCAGAAGGAGCCTGTAAGTAGGCGAGGGCAAGGTGCTCCTGGGGAGCAGGACCCCACACCATGGAGACCCAGCATGTGGGCACAGCTCTGGTGCTGTGAAGAAGCTTTCTGTAGAGAAGACCTCGAATGGGTGTGTGTCTTGCCTTGAGAATGCTTCCAGAAGCACAGCCCATGCCCACAGGGTCACAGGTTTTATAGAAGGGCATCATAAGCCCCTTAGGGAAAATGAGATACTGATGCTAACAGCAAAATTAAGGTACCCTGGCCTGGTGCCAGCAGGTGGCTTTTCTGAAGACAAACTAGGTTAGTATGGAAGACATGGTTAAAGTAAACTTGCTGTTCTATCTTCCCAGTCTGGATGGCAGCTAGACTTGTGGGGTCTTGTCTAGTGGGCCTGCCTCTTCACTGTCCTGCTTAATGGTGAAGGCAGCACTTGGTGCACGAGCTCCTGCTCCCGGGCCACCTGCAGACGTCCCTGTGAGGGGTCTGCTGTCCACAAGGTACAAGGCCTGCAGACTCATCTGGTACTTTTTAATGTTCTTGTAACAAGGGCTGTGGGAGGGCACAGGCCTCTACCACAGCTGTTTGGAGACCTGTGATCATCCATCCTGCAAAGACAGCTGGAAGGTCGTTGAGTTTTACACAGTGGTCACTGACATTCCCATCGAGTCGAGTGTTACGAAGACATTCCTTCAAACCCGTCTGCGCTACAGAGCCTCAGAAGAAGCCATCACTAGGCGCCGTCATTCCTGGGTCGGGCCTGCTCACTGGCTGCCGCAGTCACTCCTAGACGCAGCTCGCAGCTGTCTTACGAGCTTTTCTTGGCATCTTGAAGCGCCTCTTTCTACTCAGGTACTCCTCTTCCTTTAGTGATTCACCTTTCTGATCTTTTTAAACCAGTCTCCCCATAGGAGGAAAACTCCACTTAACTTCTAATATCCAAATAACTTTCACTATCTGAATTGTTCCCCTATTTGCTTTATATTCTATATTCTTGCACATCCAAAAACAACACCCAGAACCTGTTACTTTTCATTCCAGAAGCTTCCATTCCTTCCTTAATTTTTTCTCCAGTGGCCCAGTTCCTGGCCCTTCTCCTTGTCCTATTTCTCTTGCTTTGGAAGCTTAAAAGATGCTGTAGGACCTAATTTTAGGTTCCTATGTGGGAGCCAGTTACCTTGCGGAGATAACAGAAATGGTTCGACCCGTCTTGACCCGTACCTCACGGTCTCCTCGCCAGCAGAGATGATGCCTTACAGGCTGCGCAGCACCGGAGCGTTCCTGGAGGGACAGCACGCCGCCAGTCTCCTGGGCTTCCTTCCGCGGTCTGTGCCTAACAGCCCCAGTACAGCCGTTCCGCAGAATGACTATAGCACACTCGGACATAGTGTACTCCCTGGTAGATAGATAGGAAGTGACCCCAACAATAAACTTTGATAATAAAGTCACTAGGCCACGGTGCTTTTATTTACCTGCTGACAGTGTCAAAAGTCACTTACATTTTAAGCTTTTTGTCTATATATTCCCCACCTAATTCTGTACCAACATACTATCCTTTGAATCCAAGTGTTCACGGGATACAGTAATACTGGTGTCCTTGAAGGCAAAGGAAGAAAATATTTGTGGTTTTAAACTGGCGTTTAAAGGTGGGGGAGGTCTACCATAAATAGCTCTTTTTCTCCTTTTGGATGCTCAGGAATGGAATGTTACCAAACCACATAAGGAAAGTCCTTAAAGGATATGAATTTACTTTGTATCTTGTTCTCACAAATGTCTTCTAAAACAAAAGCATCTGGGCCTGTAGTTCCCTTTCCTGTGCTTAGTAAAACGAGTCCTGCCCTGTTAATGCTACTTTCCTGTGAACTCAAGTAAGTACCGTCTGCTCTCCAAGAATCATCTAGACAGTGTTTTTCCTTTTTAAACCTTCAACTAAATGGACTGTTCTGCTGGCCACACTGGCCAAGCCTGACCCCTAAGGCTGCTTTATTACCCTTCCTCCCAGGGCCATTTTGAGTCAGACATAGTAAGACAGGTGGCCAGTGGAAAGCAAGCACTGAGAAGACCCTTGGGAAATCCGGGAAGGTCGGCGACCAGTCAGTGCAAGGGAGTGTTTGGCACACACACCAGCCCTCCTCACCCTGGAGAAGGCAGGCCTCATCGAGTGTGCACACCTGCAGCAAAGACTCATCCATAGTCCTACAGGAGAAGTCGCTGGGATCCTCCTGAAGCTACCTGGCCTCTGGCTGCTTTTCCCCCACTGAACTGTTTTCTGAGTAACTCCTGATGGTAACTGCAAAAGACGCCCTGGGACCCTCCAGCTGCAGGTGGCAGGGTGGAGCCGGTCTTTGGCACAAAGGTTCCCTTTTGAGGGGCTCTCCTGAAACCCCATTTACTCTGTCTACCTGCCTTGCCTCGTTGCCACCTCCCAGTTTGGAGTCCTCTTGAGAACTGTCATGGAGGCAGATGTTCTTATATCAGTGCAGAAATGAACCTGAAGCACAGGGAGCAGGTCCAGTGCATCCTGGGTTTGCTGTGCACAGGCTCCACGGGGCCCTGTGGCTATGGCAGAAAGACAGCGGCTCCTGGCTGCCTCTCCATGTGGGAGCACAGAGGACGCCGGCATGCTCCTGGGCAGCGGAGGCAGGGGGTACTGCAGTCCCAAACAAAACCTCCATACTCACTTCCGTATCAGCTCAAATTCTTCCAGATTCTAAAAAGTCAAGAGTCCTGCCTTACCGAATACTCTAAATGGCTTATGCAAAAGCTGAAACTAAGCTGCTTTTTTTTTTTTTTGGTGTTAAAAACATCACAAAAGAGAGAAATGGTAGAGCTTAACGGGAGCCTGCCCTTCAGTCTTTCTCGTCTAGTACACTCTGAAAAGTCTCCGCCAAGATCTCACAAAGCAGGGCTTTACTATTTCTGTATGATATTTTTCCTTATGTATTTACTTTAATAAACAACAAAAAGGTTTTCTGCCAAAACATTTGTCACGCTTAAAGTACAAAATCAAATACAGAGCTTCAGACGTATGAACTATATACACATACCCATACATCCATTCCTCAGTCCTATACAAACCCACCTACAGTCTAATTTGTCCATCAACACTATTGAGTAAAAAGCATATGTATCTCTAGGAAACAAAATGGTTTTCAGTAACACTGTCAGAGTGGATTATTTTCAATTTAGCACTTAAAAGGGTAGAAATAGATATTTCCTACAAATAGAATTACCAACCATAAATCCAATTTGTAAGATTTCTTAAAACATGTTCTATAGGAATAATTARTAGACGTGCCTTCAGTCACCACTGGTCATATTAACACTATACAGATTAGCTATAGCAAGACACCTTTTAAGGATCATTAACAGAAGCACCTGCCAATCATCCTGGGCACTTCAACACTAAACAAACTGAAGCCGCAGGAAGACGTCTTCTAAAGCAGACTGCGTCCAAGAGGGTGGGTTGGCTGGGCTTAATTTTGTCCAACAGCACGGCATCTGCAAGTCACGTTTTCTGTGGAGCTGAAATGGTGGATGGCTTGGAGGCTACCTCAAGGTGTTAAAAACTAAACCCTTCACTAAAGGAGGTGTCCGCGTTTCAACACTGGATAGGTTATACCAACAAAAAAGCAAGAGTGTAGAAGTTTTATCTGGCCAGACACAGAACACAAGAATGTCCTGCCAGTCGAGGGGACAGGCTGCAACAGCGCCTTCACTCTAGGATGGTCCATCTTACACAGGGCCTCAGACAGGCGTCCCCTCTCCAGGCACAGGACTTCATCATGCCTGCTCCCGTAACTGGGAACACGCAGACAGGGTGGCCTGTATTTACACGAATGGCCTTGCAGCAGCAACAGAAAACACACTCACTGTCCCATTTCCATAGGAAAGGTTATATGTACACTCCACACTTCAGCCTCGAAATGCGGACCCCAAACATGCCCTCTTCAGCAAGCAATGACCCGTGAGGACCCCACACCCTCCAATCCCACTTAGCAGAGCAGAAGCCCCTCCTTGGCTGCCAGGCGCTGGCGGTGGACTTGGTCTTGCTGCAGCTCCTCGTGATTCGGGTGCCAGAGCCTCATGATGATCCTCTCGATGTTGAGGGCATACACGGTGTGTGTAGGGATGACTTCCCGGTGTACCTGGGGTTCAAACATCAGCAGTCTCCAGTTATTCTTCAGCAGGCTTACTTTTCCAACATAGAGAATGGGTTTACGTCAACACAACACAGACAGGACACTACCCAGAACTTGAACGAGAGCCTAATGCATCCCAGGTCAGACAAGAAGGAACGAGGCACCGCCGAGTTCTGAATAAGCGGCAAGCACGCCATTTCCTTTTTTTGGAGAGGTCAAGGATGAGGGAGGTAAATCAGGAATTTAATGATAAACAAAAAGGGAAAAACAGAACCAAGAGGTAGAAACAAGCCAGCGCACGACTCCGCAGRCTTGAAAAGCCGCCAGCGTGTCCGACCCGAGGAGCCGAGAGTTACCTGCAGAGCCTCAAGGAGGTCGTACATGTTCACTGGAGGCAAAGGCGCAGGCAGCGCGTCCCCAGAGCAGGCCAGCAGGAGTGCGGCCTGCTGCTCAGCAGCGTCCGGGGGCAGGTGGGCAGCCGGGTTCTGACCCGCACAGGGAGTGGACACAGCCGGAGGGCTGAAAGACATGGCAGAAACACTCCCAGCATCTCCCACAGACAACCCGCCGATGGACAGAGGGGCTGGCCAGGCCACGGCTCCCTACAACTGCCTTCAACTCCACAGAAACCCATTCGTGCCCACGTCAGGCTGGATACCAGCACACTCGTACTGAGTTAGCTCGGGGCTGAGCCAGATTGTCTCCTGCCCTGAGGAGCTTCCAGTTGAAAAAGAAAGAGCCCGCGAGCCACTGGAAGCTGACGTGGAGAAGGCCAGCACTGCAGGCAAGGAGCAGCAGCCGCAGGAAGGGGACGCTGGCCAGCACGGGGCTGCGCGTTTCCGAAACTGCCCAGGCAGCGGCGGGATGTGTACATCAGAGAAGCTGGAGAAAGAGCCCGGTTCCTCGGAACACCAGGACAGCGGGCAGCATCCAGCAAGCGCAGCCCTCACGCCCTGGCCAGCACCCCCACCACGAGGAGCCACTTTCTGTTTTTGTCAAGAGAAGCATGACTTCAGTGAAAATCCCAACCGTGGCAGAATGAGATCAGACAAGAACCGTCACTTGTGGCCCAGGGCCACTGCCCCCAGGCGGGTGCTGCCCGAGGAGCCACACTCCACCACACAGCAGAGAGAGGGTCACAACAGACCCCAGGCAGCAGCCCGACCCTGGAACTGATAAAAATGACAGTAATTCACTAGATGGCCTGCGAGGCTAAGACTGAAGAGAACAGAAATGAAGAGTGGGCGGAACTCCTGCCACACTACAGGAACCCAGTGACCAATGACCTGACGAGAGGTCTGCCACCAACAAGCCGGGGCAGAGGGAGAATCGCGAGAAAGCACTTACCCTTCGATTAGGCTATTGTAGGCCACCACGCTGTTCTTCAGGTATGGCTGTGGGGTCACATTGCTCCCGAAGGCATACTTAAAGTGGCCATCTCGCAGCCGGTGCGCTTTCCTTCTGGACACAACTGACGTCAGTATGTCTTTGAGGTGGCTCTGAAAAGCAGAGGGAGAGCACCACCACCTCAGAGCAGACCACGGCTTCCACTGACCATGTGCAGAGGTGTGGGACTGGCTGGCACAAGCCAGAACCGCGTGAGTGGTCAGCCAAGAGCCAGCAGCCGCTCTAAAGAGAAGCAGCACGGGGAGGAGGGCACGCGCATTTTCATCCAGTTCCCTTTAAAAATGGTCTTGCCCTACAATGAATTTTTAAAGTTTTCATTACTCTAAATTGGCTCGTTTCTCTCAAAATTGATTTTCAATAAGTAATTTATTTTTAAAGCTACCTGGAGACTTGGTTTAACATGGGAGGAAAAGTTTCAAGATCTAATATTTACTGGTTGTAC